CAGCAAAAGGGGGAGGACTTCTTGTTTTTCTTTCCTACTGTTCATTTCAACGAACATTATTTGATATGATCAGATGCACCTAGGCATTGTGCCTTTCTGTTCCTCTGGTCTCACTGCCTGTGAATGCCTAAAGACTTCTATAATTTATATGTCCTGGTATTTCAGGTCGAGTTTCCACACTAGTTATCTCACTTAACAGAATAGGTTCTTGGTCTCTCCATTCCCTGCAAATGGCATTATTCTTTCTAATAGTTGTGTAAAATTTCACTGTGTATAGATACCACATTTTTTTAATTCACTTTTCTATTGTAGGATATTTGGGCTGTTTCCACAACTTGGCTGTTGTGAATAGTACAGCAATGAACATGGATGTGCAAGTGGCTTTATGGTCTCCTGACTTGTGGTGTTCTGGGTAGATGCCCAGGAGAAGTGTCAACATCCCTATTCTGACGATGATTAGAAATTACAGTATTAGATGTCAGAGTGTAAGTTTTCTCCATCATACTGTGAATAAGCAGAGATAAGGGGACAAAGTAGAGACTATATTCAGAAGAACAAAATTGAGAGAAGCACTAAAGAAACACCAAGGGAGGAATGGGAGAGCTGAAATGTATCAAACCACGAAGGTGGCAGACATAATTAGGTAACAGCATTGGTTAGGTACCAACACAATGTTCCTGGCAGAAGAGGAGAAACAAAGTTAAGTCTGCTGACCTCTTCCAGGAACTACTAAACCTAGTTATGGGGAAAATCCACACCTCTTGGAAGCTTTCAACTCTAGTGCAGTGAGCTGGAGTCAATGACGAGCCCAGTATAAAAAGCCAGCATCAGACGGGACAATCTTTCAATCCGCCTATCTCCATGAGCTGCAACAAGGTGCCATCTTGTGGGAGGGCCTCCTACTTGAGACGAGGGAATTCATTCTTTGCATGGTAGCTGCCTTGAGCCAACCAGGCCTGGAGACTGAGATACAACGAGGGGCTTGGGAAACAAGAAAGCATTAGAAGACATCCATGACCAGTGGCTTTTGCATGAGGGAAGCAGCTATACATAGGGAAGCTGGCAGTTCCCAGAGGCAACAAGAGCTCAGCCAGTTCAGGGCTTGGCCATTCCAGTGGTTTTCCAAAGCCTGAGAATCACTCAAGAGAGAAACATCAAATCCAAGACTGGCAAAGAACTCAACTTCTAGGACTGTGGCGGGCTTTGTTTCCCGGAAGAGCTGACAACACTAAGCCCAGGACCCAAGGCTCCCTTGGGATCTCATCAGAACTCAGGGTTCCAGGGACCTCCAGTTTCAGCCTTCCTTCAGTGTACCAATTGTATGTTATCTCAAAAAGAATACTGATAGTAACTAATAAAAATATTACGTCCCATTCAAAAATTCATGCTCTCCTGAGGGATATGGGGGAAAAAAAAAACCCAGCTTGGACTAAAGGTCATAGATTCCAGCCCTGAAAGAGGCAGAATATTCCATCCAAAATTCTAACTCTAGAAATAAACAAACATCGAAGCCTTAAGTTAGATTTGAAGTGTGCATCTGCACACATATTTTGAGATAATTGTAATTCCAACTGATTATGAAGAATTTGATATATGAATAGAACACATAATTACAGTAATAACAGCTACAATTATCTAGCACCGATTATGTAGTCAACTTTGTGCTTTAAACATTTTATTGTTATTCTTCAGAGCGAAGTATTATCATGCTACTTTAGAGATGAGAAAAAAAAAGCAACAAAGGTGAGAGTAGTTAGATGGAAAAACCATAAAACTAATCAAAGAAAGCCTGGAGTAAAAGTCAACTATCTAACACTTCAATTCAACTCTTCCTGCTAAATGGCTACCATCTAAAGAGAATTATATATTTATGGATCCATGCTTTAAAGACAGAGTCCCTCAATGAGCAGTGATGGTCTAATGAGGAAAGAGGAAATTTTAACCATAATTTCCTGAAGATGTGCTCTCGGTGAGCAATGAAAAAACACAGCATAAACTAGAACTATGGTGGATATACCATAACATTTTTATACCCCTGGGGACTGTTGACTAAAACTACCTTATTGCTCTGTAGAGACTTCAAAGCATAGCATGCAATGCAGTGGGCATCCTCCAGCAATCTAACTCTTAGTGTGTTCCAGGATTCAAGGAGTATGCTTGGAATGGGCCAAAACAAAACATATCAGAATATCCCAGAGTATGCATGACCACAGTTAGTCTTCATACACAGAAGTCGTGGAGGGAAGTCAAGGTGCAAAGGAATCCACAAAGACTACAGTTTCAGAAAAATGGGATTTATATATTTATATTTAAGACAATACTCATGATTATTGTCTTTATTAGATACAGATACCTAAGTTAGCAAAGTTAGTGAGATCAGATGCAATCTGGGAAAAGAGTCATCCTTATAGCTAATAGTTTCAGTGGAAAAACTACTGCACCTCGATTCAGATACAGTTGGGTAGAGAGATAAACACATTGGTCTCTGGTTTCTACCTAGAATGCCTCTTTGTCCCTCTAATTTGCAGTATGATAAGTTGGGTGTTAACTGATCTAGAATTTGTAATTCTAGTATATTCAGCATATTCAGTACTGCTATATTGCTTGCTTTTAAAGAACAATTTCTTCTAGTATGATTGATATTCTAGGAGATATCCTGAGCGTATGTGAAACTTACATGTGTTTATGTACCATTTTGTTCCCCAAAACTCTAGGTGATTCTGAAAAAAAACAAAACACAAACCACTCAGATGAATTGAGCCAAGTACAAACTATGCACTTCAGAGGTATAATGACCAATAATTAGCCACATCTGATACTAACACTGAGCTGCCAGCCTTACAAATAGGCCATACTAGAGGTGTCATTTACTCTGCTTAACTTCCTTTCCTTTGTGTCTTCCTCGTGTTTTTCTTCTCTGCTTTCTGATTTTCCTTTTAAATGGCACTAGTACTGGGGCTTGAGCTCAAGGCCTCTCATTCTCACTTAATTTTTTTCTGTTTTTCTTTTGCAATTTTATTTATTTAGTTAGTTTTCTTATGTAGTTGTACAAAGAGGCTTCAATTCAGCAAGTCACTTGAACTTTAACAAAAAGCTAGTACTCTGCCACATGAGCCATATCTTCACTTCCAGCTTTTTTTGCTGGTTAACTGGAAATAAAGTCTCATAGATTATCTCCCCAGGCTGGCTTTGAACCACAATTCTCAGATCTCAGAATCCTGAGTAGCTAGAATTACAAGTATAAGCCACCAGTGCCTGGCATCTATAACTTTGAATTCTTGACCTTCATAAGTACCTTTACACGCCACCCCTTACTATTTTTCTCTTGCACACAGGCTGGTGAGTACATGGTTGGGAGCAGGTGTGATGACCACACAAGTACACTTTTACTGTAGTATTATGTATATTTCAATCTGATGTGTGAAAACGTGAGTTGTCATTTTTGCAGCTAATTTGTGTGTGTGTGTGTGTGTGTGAGAGAGAGAGAGAGAGAGTGTGTGGGGGGGGGACATTTTTAAGTGTTAGATTCCAACTCAACTTTTTTTTATTACTCTGAGTTTTAGGATTCTGCAGACGGCTGTTATTTTTAGGAAAGCACATGTTGTATTATAGCAGAATGAAGTTTATATTGAAATTTATCAGTGGTATCTTATTTTTGTTTTAGCAAATCTTTCTTAGATTTAGAGCAAAATTGAAAATACTGAGGTTTCTCACATTCCCAAGGCTCCCAGACATACATTCTAGTAGTGTGTCTTTTTAAATCTTAAACAAATCAACTCTCCAGTGATTTTTTTTATTTGAGTTTGTAATTAGGCTAGAAAACACCAGCTCACGTTGTCTGAAACTATACCTCCATGTGTGAAAATCACTAATCATTGCAATAACAGCAAGGTGTAAAATAAAACTATCCAGACCAACTAGTCCCTTCGTCTTTTTGTTTCAAAGGTCTGGATATGTCTATGTATATAAATTTCCTCCGATTCTGACCAGTCAGATTTATTGATTACACGTATTCACAAGCAGCATGCTTCTACAAAGAAGTCTCTTTGATGAGATTTCTTTGTAGATGGTGAAAAAAAAGACCCACATTACCATCATAATTTTTAGGTCATATGATTTCATCTAAACTTCCTGACTTACTTAATCATATAATAATAGCAAAGCATTTCTCCCTAAGGGGGGAAAAAGTAGATTGGAAATAGCACATAATAAAATGGTTTTTATTGCAGTTTCATAGGATTTCTCAAGGTATAGCATGTAAGCGCATATTTACATGTATGACAATTATATTGGAGAAGCTTTGAAATAAAAGGAAAAAAACACATTTAATTAATGTGATACAGTGACCAGAAATCCCTACTGAACTTCTAAAGAAACTGAGACATTTTAGGTAAGAAAAATCATTTCTACTTACAGAAGAGTGGTAAGTATTATATTAATCAAGCGGAGGTATATTTTCATCTGTACTCACTAAACACCACCATACTAACTAGAACATGGAAATGTGCCGCTTGAATGGACGGGGGAAATAGGAAAGGTACCACGTTCCACATCCCATTTACTAGCACTAATTCTTCTCAGTGTTCCATTATACATTAGTGGAAAACCCAATCACTTACAGAAAGAAGAAAGCAAGGAGAAATAAAATAAGAAAGCTTCTGGCAATTACCCCAAATGCAGCATCCAATTAAATCTGTTGAATTTAATAGAATAAAGGAACTCTTCTGTTTCTCCTCTCCCTAAACAAAAGGGTCATAGACTAATTATCTCAGGAGTGACATCTTACAAGTTTTGCCAATGCTGAGCCAGCGGACTCTGTGCGGGCCGGGCTTAGTATGTAGACCATCCTTTGTCTATCCCAGGAACTTTAGTGGAAAAACAATTATTCATCTTGTGGTAAATCACAGATCATTTGATAACAAGGGTTTTGAAAATACTTCCCTTTTGCTTTTTGCTCTCAGGAAACCCTCCCTGCCGGTTACCCATCACTCGAGCCTTACTTGTTTTCATTGCTCGCATCGTAACGAGGCATTGGATCCAAGTCATTCCCATTCACATCACAACTGGCCAGCGCATCCTATGGCCACAGAGGAAAGAGGGAGAGGGAGAAAGAGCCATTAATTAGCCATTGACCCGCAGGCTCATGCATTCTTAAACACATTTCTGCAAGAGAGAAATTAGGTTAACTAATACACTCGTGGTTCACTGCTATCAGGAGGCTTTAGCAAGAGAATGTTGCTTCAGTAATAATAATCAAGGCTGCATTGTTTCTCCTTAAGTGAGGAAGTATTCTACACAGTCCAAAGGAGAGTCTGGTTCAGCCAGGCCTGTATTTTTTCTCTCAATACCCAGAGGGACCTAGTTCATGAAATGTGCATCATTCAAAGATGTCCTCAATGACTGAACTTTTTAAGGACGTACTGCTGCATATATAGAAGCACTGATTTATTCTCCAGACCCGTTCTCTATTTCTTACCTGATGTCTAGAGTAAGTAACTTCATCATAATTCGATGATTAGGAGATAAAATTATTTGAATGAAAGGGGCAAGCCAATTAAAATTATCAAGTATTCTATCAAGTATCTTGGGATGGTTATCAAGTAACCTATCTCCTTTGAGGTATTGTACCTACTATGGAAGAGCCTACAGTTCAGACTTTTACTAATACTCCAAGCTCTGGAATATCCAAAATGATGAGAAAGGTTTGCCTACGCCACGGTTTCAGAATGAGAAAACCAAATATGGACTTACTTGGTTTCTTTTTTCTCTTTTTCTGTTTTGAAAGATTATGAAAAAATCTCTATGATACTCAGAGTTTACTGTCCCTTTCATTGTTCAAATTTATATCACTATGGTTATTCTATTGGGGTTGTAAATTTTCATATGCTTTATGAATAACCATAATTTTAATGTAAGCGAAAGCCAACACTATCTGTTTTCTGTCTTTATCAAAGGGTCATGTTTCTGAAAGCAAGAAGTATTTGGGCTTTGGCTTAAAACTAATGTAACAGAGGCTCCCAGCAGGTTAATCTCTAGCCTTTGTTTTGTATGAAACAAACCAAGTCTGGGCCCCAAGCCTTTTGATGCCTTATCTAATATATTTTCTCTGATTGCTCTGGCTCTCAGAAGGAGAGCTAAGAGGCACCAAGGTGGTGAACTACACAGGTTATTCTAGAGAATTTTTTTTTTCTGGGAGAGAATAAAACGAATGAGGAAAAGATTGCAATCACAATGAGGTAGAAGCTGTTTGCATTTGATCAAATAGTCATCTGTAGCTTGTAGCAGCAGCAAGTGGCAAAACCCTTTTTGCATGTGACAAGAAAAGACATCATCACTAGGGCACAAGCAGCCAGAGTTTGTTTGACCTTAGATCTAACCCTGAGTAATTCACTTTGGTCTTCAGCCTTCACTTGTTGTGCCTATCAAATGAGGAGACTAAATGGAAGTTCCTTTTAAGCTTTTAAATCCTATGTGGTGAAAAGGTCCAAGTTTATCTAAAATTGTCTGGATGTAGGACGTGGACTGTTACTCAACTACTGTGCAGAAGATAACTAAATGATTTTGCAGTGCTTTCCCCCTCCCCGCCCTTTTTTTTTTCTCTTGATACTGGGCTTGAACTTGGGGCCTGGACACTGTCCTTTAGTTTTTTGTTGTTATTAAAAGCTGGAGCTCTACAACTTGAAACATAGCGCTACTCGTGGCTTTATGCTGGCAAACTGGAAACAAGAGCTATATGGTCTTTCCTTCCCCGGCTGGCTTTGAACTACCATCCCAAATCTCAGACTCCTGAGTAGCTGGAATTACAGGCATGAACCTGGCAGTGGGTGGGATTTCTGCTCCCTTCCAGCTTTCTTTTTATAGGTCAGGGCATTCAGGACATCCAAAAGTAGCAAAGTGTTAGCTTGAAGCTTCCTTTAACAAGTAGTGCCTGTTGCATCAAATACTACCTTTTGCAGTAGTTCCTGTACATTCTGATAGTCCTAACAGAAAATCACGCTGATGCCAAGGCAGAGAGACTTCCAGATGCAGCAAATACTCACATAGTTTTGCATCAGATCAGGGTGGGTCCTTTCAATACCATCATCCAGAATGGTCACGACAATGTTCTTTCCCGTGTAGCCTCTCTTCCAGGCTCCTTCAATATTCATGTCTGATTGGCAGGGGTGTGTGTTGTCACTGCAGTGCTAAAGAAAAAGGACACTGCAGATTACTCAAGGATAAGAAAATTTGGAGAGGGTATTACCCACTTGTAGAAGATTACCTGTTCAAATGATCAGCACTGAGTAGATTGCTGGTAGAGAAGAAACAGAGATCTCCAGCAGAATAATGTGGAGAAGATAGGAAGGGGAGAAATAGGATCATCATCTGTGATCTGTTCTGATAGCATATTTACTTCGAGAAAACATACAGAGCAAGTATCTCAACAGTAGAGTAACAGATAATTCAATTATTAACATGTATGAATGAGATATAAATAATCATCATCATAGCATTTTGTTTATAAACCCAAACAAGGCCATTGAAGAACAGAAGCTATTTCTGTTTCTTAGCCAGGCACCAAGAAACCAATCCTGCCACAACTGAAACCCACTCAGGTGCTTTCTGTGACTTTCGCTAGAGGTGTGCTACTATGAGAGACTCATGAATAATAATAATAATAATAATAATAATAATGTTTTCTTAACTCCTTTCACTACATCAACAATGGCTGTGTTACCTTAATTTATAGAAGCTGAGAGGCGTGTGGAGCACTTCTTTGGGAAAGGAAAGAATAATGCAAAGTCCAGACAAGCTCCCTCCACAGGAAGACGTGTGTGAGGGCAGGATGGAAAATGTGGACCCTTGTCTCGTTATGTGTAGAAATTTCATTCTGCCGCGGCTGCATTGCCCAGCCACACTGAAAAAGGAACGGAGCCTGAGGCTTTTCCCGATACCATTTACTAGCATTTGTCCAACCCACACAATTGTTCCTTTCAAGTCCATCTCTTTGAAATATCCCTCTGAGTGGTGCTGTTTCACAGCTTCTTGAGACTCAGAAGAGACAGAAAAGCAAGAGCTGCTTGAGAATGTCATAGCAACACCAGCTAACCCAGCGCACTGCCTGTTCACCAAGATCCGCTTGCTTCCATTCACCAAGGGATGGAAAAGAATAGCAAGTTTTCTCTGCTCTGGGTGGAGTCTCCATTACATCATGGGTCATCTCTCTCTCCCTCCCTCCACCCCCTCACACACACACACACACACACACACACACACTCCCTCACTCTGAACAACCTAATGCCTACATAATTATTATTGATTGTTAAAACTTGCATAAGTTTTGTCTCCCAAACTGACTTAAAGTAAGCCTCACCTAAAATCCCAAAAACAGTTGCTCCATTTTCATGAGGACACTTTTTTCCCCCCAAGTTCAGCTTGACTTCCCAGTTCACCACTGTCGCTTTCTGCAGAGAATCAGCCGACTCACATTTGATGATCACAACTTATAAAGAAATGAGTGCAGATTTCTGAAATAGACACATTTTTTCAGAACACTCATAGTAGCCAAGAGGCTAGGCCTTTCTTCACTAACTATGCTAATTTAACGCAAAGCAACCTGAACAGATTTCCATTTCTTTTTCTTTTCAAAATCTGCTGTGACCACCTGCAGGAATGATTGTGACAGAAAGTAATGTTAATGTGGCCAAGAGGTGGGCTGGAGGAAGGAAATGTACAGGAAATAGGCAACCCGAAAATGGGATAACCATCTTGGAATACAGGGATGCTGTCTGAAACTTTAATTATGAAAATTGAAGGAAACCAGCTGTCTATGAAAACCATGTGTGTGAGAAGTACAGCAACTAGTTTTGCCTTTTAACTTCTTTGCTTCTGTTGAGTCTGCCTTTACCATTAAATATTTTGGTAAGACCTCCTTTCTTTTTCTTACATCTGCGCTACAATGCTGTGAGAAGAGGAAATATTCAATTGATGCATTCATTTAGATAAAGTAATACAGCAGACATTCGTGTGTGTGTGTGTGTGTGTGTGTGTGTGTTCCAAGCCATAGAGTGCTTCCTAAAAATGAGGAATGGGTTAGAGGTCACTTAAATAAGAACTCTAAATTGTCCTTGTGAACCTGAGTTTTTTTAAATATACTTCAAGTGATTCATGCTTGCAAAGCCTAGAACCCTCCAATGGAGCCAATCAGGTATGAACAGCATGTTGAAGCTGAAGAAACACATATGTGCATAGTTATACAAGATACAGATTTATACTAAACTATGCACCTTAGTAAATGGGCACCTTAGTAAATCGGATTTCAGTAAGTCTGCATGCACAGATAACTAAGTAGCTAGAAACAATTCAGGGGGTAAAAAAGAGAAAAAGTTGCCAAAAGAAACAAAGGTTTCCCAATCTTTTACCACAAGAACCTTTATTCTTTCTAGGAATGTGATTTTAAAGAGCGTGTTTTCTGAGTTCAAGAAATCGCCTTTTCCATACCAGAGTGATGAGCTATCCTGCTTATAAACCACGAGGGATGCACTCGGGTCTCTCAGGGCTTCATAAACATATCACAGTGTTTGCTCAATGAAAGAACAGTTTATACCCCAAATAAACACGCTTGTTACATTCTCATCTTCGTTTTCTTCAGACTAAGGGGGGGGGACTCTCAACAGCATTTTTTTAATTCCCAAATTTTTCAGGGTTTCCAATGAGCTATTCTGTGGTGTGTGTGTGTGTGTGTGTGTGTGTGTGAGAGAGAGAGAGAGAGAGAGAGAGAGAGAGAGAGAGAGAGAGAGAGAGAGAGAGAGAGATCCGATAACTTGTACATGGAAAGCAGTAGCTCTACCATGGAGCTTTAGGCTCAACCCTTGAAATGACATTTAGTACGCTGCCAATAATTTGCTAGCATTGAAAACATCTATAGTTCATTATTATTAATTCAGGGGCTGATCAGACTCAATTCTGATCACACAATGTTGGTAAGAAAGCAGAATTAAGTGCAAAAAAATCTGTTTCAGAGACACACTAAGAAACACATCTGGCCAGGTGCCGGTGGCTAATCCTAGCTACTCAGGAGGCTGAGTGAGGATCACCGTTCAAAGCCAGCCCGGGCAGGAAAGTCTGTGGGACTATTATCTCCAGAAAACTGGAAGTGGCACTGTGGCTCAAGTGGTAGAGTGCTAAGCCTTGAGCTGAACAGCTTAGGGACAGCGCCTAGGCCCAGAGTTTAAAAAGAAACACATCTGATCAGGTCAGTAAGGTCATAATATATTTGGCATTGGCTATAAAATCTGAAGCTTAAAAATGTTAATAGATTGAACAAACTGATGTTCTCTTAAGTGAAATAAAACTAACAACTACATGGCTAAATATTTTATTAATCAGTGTATGTGAGTAGCACTGTTTAAAACATGGAACAACCATTCAGAAGAGGTAATGTCTGTCTTACGTTATTAAAAGGAAAGACTTTATCAGCCTAGCTAATCTTCTAGAGTTCAAACATCAGGTCAACAGTGCACAGAGATATAGAAACTCTCAAGAGAAAAACTGAAAGAGAAAGAGCCCAGATCAGGCTCAAACACCTGCACATAAGAAGATAAAGAAGAGATAAGGATTGGTTGTTGGAGAACACAGATGTAGCAATCCAAGAACAGAAATCACACTGGCACTATGACAGCGCTTTCAATTGATAAAGTAGAATTTAGTTTGATAAGACCTTAGTGATCTAATATTCTGATTTGCTTTAATTGCAACACATCTTTTAGGAAATTATAAGTGAATACTAAGAAGAGATTCACTTCTATATTAAATAGCCAGTGATATACTGATCAGTCAATTTTTTTTTGTTTTTGAGTCTTTATTACTAGTTATGGTAAAGATTGAAAACTCACATAGTTGACACACAGTGCAGGTAAGAGGTCTAGGAGTCAGTTGGGGCCTGCTGGTTCATACCTATAATCCTAGCTACTTAAGAGGCTGAGATCTGAGGATCACAGTTTAGAGCGGCTTAGGCAGACATATCCAAGAGACTCTTATTTCCAAAAAAAATGTTGTAAGTGAACGACTAAAGTCCCAACCATTAGGTGAAAAGTTTCAGAATGCAAAGCCCTGAATTCAAGCTTTAGTACTATCACTCTCACACACACACAAACACACACACACACACACACACACACACAGAGAGAGAGAGAGAGGAATTTTTTCTCTTTCACACATTATTTTAAACTGGTTCTTGATTATCAAGTTTTGTCAAAGTAAATAAGAAATGGGATGGAACCTTTCAGAAGGCATTCTAGAAGATATGCACTTGGTATGAGGGTTAATCTAAATTCCCTGAATAATGTTCAACCTTTTTGGAAGAAGAATAGGCGTGACACCATAGCAGGTGAACGATTATCTTTACCTGCCTATTGAGAAACTTCTGGCAGAAGAGATCACGAGCCAGTCTGTTTTCTTTGGAACACAGGGCAAACATTTCTCGACCTTTCTCTGCTTTTCTGTAAATGACTCCATTTGAATACTGTCTTCCACCCCGGGCCATGCAGCAAATTCTTTGATGATTTCAAGATAAACTTGGCTTTAGCAAATAAATGTCTTTCTTCCCGGAAAAGTGTAAATCAAAAACCAGGTATTTCCTAATATACCACCCTCTCTCCAAATAGTGCAATTAGTATATTAATGAATTGTGTTTGCGAAGAGATGACCTCAATTAAAAATGTTTTCCTTAATAGCTAAAAACTAAGAAGCAACTCTTATGCTGGGGCATATGAAAATGAATTTAGAAGTAATGGAGTTGCATTATTTAATAAATATGACAGCATTAGCATGAGGCAATCCTTATTTTTTTCTATAATGCAATTTCTTTGTGTACATTTACAGAATTCTGTTTACATGGAACTCTTCACCCTTTTTCTTCCCTGTATTGCATAAATCTGCACAGAAAGCGCCTGCCTCCTCTTTATTCACCAAGGACTCAGAGGTCAAGGTAATACAAGGTAATTTTTTTTTTTACTTTCTTTAAAATGAGCAGAGTACAATATGTTTGGATAATCAAAACCAACAGGCTGTAGTACTCAATTGTCCTATTTTATTTTCTTAAGTCACAAAAGAATTTTAAGAAAAAAAAACAAGGAAAAGCATTTTTTTCCCTAAATTTAGAGATTTATCAGGTCAAAGAGGGGAAATCTGGAAATATTTTAAT